TTTTCTATTTAATTAGTTACTAAAATATTTTAATAAGATATTTAATGCCCTAGAAACTCTATAGCTAATTTATATTAGGAATTAAGAAAATTATTAAATAATAAAATTAATATAGATAAAATAGAAGTAAAATAAGATTACAACTATATTTTATCTAGCGAATATTTAGATAGTAGTTTATTATTAAAATATACTTTAGATTAGTGTCGGTATCTCTTAGTATTTAGTAATAAATAGATAAGATATAGAAATTTTTATATAGCGCGGTGTAATATTAAATAATTAATATTTTAGTTAGGCGGATAGAGATAAGTATCTAATAATATAGATTAAAGTTCAGTAAACTAAAGATATTAAATAAGACAGATAGTCTTTATATTAAACTATTAAATAAATAGATTTTTAGATTAATTATAAAAGATACTAATTTAATAAATAAGTTTAGTAAGGCGTAAAATTTAACTAATTATTAATTAAGTATAAGCAACTATCGGTGTAACAGTAAAATATAAAATAAAAAAATTAAAAAGCTTAGAATAAAAGAATAGAATAGATAGAATAAGAGAAATATAGAGCAGTGAAGTAGCGAAGTAATAAAAATAAAAAAAATAAAGAAAGAGATAGAGATTAAATTATAGAGATTCAATAAAGGAAAAAATATAATTAAAGCTAGGTTTTAGAAATAGTATAATTAGGGAATAATATAATTTAGAGTAATGTAATTCGGAATAATATAATTCTAAGTAACGTAGGTTAGACTAGGTAGTAAATTATTTACTAAAAGTAGAAAATATAGTAATATATTAGAAATACTACATAGAAATATAGGTAGATTAAATAATCGGTTAGTTAATATAATTATAAGAATAAGAAATTTGATAAAAAGTTACTAATAGTATTTTAGAGTATCTAAATATTTAGTAATAATTAATAAGATATAAAAAATACTGAAGAATAAATATAAACTTAGAAAAAATACTTTCTAGAATAAACATAGATATACTACTAGTTTATAACAGGCTTAGAAATAAAAGTAGTAAAATAATTGTATTTAAGGTAAAGCAGAGTATTAAGAACAGTGGATATAGGTTAGATATATGGCGTACGGTAGCGACTGTTAATATAACTGTCTGACTAGTTCGGTATGACGTATCTCTATACTACGGTAGGTTGCATACATGATTAGGAACGGCGACAAAGTAAGTTATTTTTTAAATAGATTTATACTCTATTTACTGTTAATAAAATATTATTAATTAAATTAATATTCTTACTTATTAAAAATCTTATTATAATTAGTTCCCGATTCTCTATTCTATAGTAAAAAATTTTCTTATAATTATAACTAACAGTATTAATACTAAATATCTTTTTAATAGTTTTTAAGATATTTATTACTATCGCTAGAGTTAATTATATTTTAATATTATTAAAGCTATTATATTATAGATATATACTAATCGCTTTACTATTAATAAAAAATATTAGTAAATTTTTAATAAGATTAATTTTAACTCTATTATCTTATATACAAAAAAAATAATATAATTAAAGTGTTTTTATATATTAGTAATAGTAAGAATATAGATAATATAGATAAGAATCTAAAGAATAAATTATTATTAGAATCTATATATACTATCTAGACTATTAAAAAGATATAATTTTTTCGAAATTATTAATAATATTTTAAATAATATAAGAAATAAAAAGTAAATAATAAATATTATTCTAGTATATTAAAGTAGAATATTTTAATTAATTAATTTTAAATAGTAAATTATATTATAAAATTATAAAAGTATTAATACTAAAATAATAATATATATTATATATAGTAAATTATAGAGATAATAAAAATATATTAATTACTATTTAATCTATAGTTAGTAATCTTAGTAAATTAATTTTCTCTTTTTTATTAGCTGGTTAATCTAATAAAGTAGAATTTTTATTCTTAATTTAACTGTACTAGTCTAGTTATTAGGTTCTTTATATTTTAACCTAACCTAGCTGGTTATAGTCAGATTATGGTGAGGTATAACGGTCAGGTTAACCCACTCTAAAGAGAATAAATAAGTAGATTTAGTAAAAAGAATAGAATTAGATTCATATTAAAAAGAATAGAAATATAAATAAATACATTATTAAAAGTATAGAAGATTAAATAGATATTATATATTATATAAAGATAGAAGATACAGAAGAAATTTTTTTTAAATAGAAGTAGCTCTATTTATCAGAAGCAAATATTAATAGTTTTAATTAAAAATTTAAAAAGATTGAAAAGAGCTATAAATAATAAACTATATTTTTTAATTAATTTAGAAATATAGAATTATTTAAAAAATATTTAATAAATTATAGAAGCTTTCTAGCTTTCTTATTAATAATTAATTAATTAATTAATTAGCTAGGCTTTAGAATAAGAATACTAGATATTTAATAAAAAAGTTATTTTTTTACTAAAATATATTGTTTAAGTAACTATTTCTTTATTAATTTATTTACTAAACCAAGCTCTGTTAGTATAAAATAAAGTAGTTCAATAAATAAGTTAATAGATTAAATAGTTCTTTAGCAAGATATAGGTAAGTAAATAATTATATAATAGAATCTAGCTTATAAATAATTAATAATTAGATATTTAGAAATAGAAATACAGAATAGAAATTAAAAATAAAGAATTAGAATATTAGATCTTAATATAATAATATTTTAACTATAGAAAATAACTAAAATTAGTATTCGATTAATTTTTTAAAAAAAAAAATAATTTAGAGAATAACTACTTCATTTATAACTAGAAATATCTAGCTATAACAGGGATATAAAAAAAGCGGTATTATTCAAAAAAGTAGTAAATCTATAATAGCAATAATTAATTACAGTAATCTTAGCGTTTTTATATAATGTTAAATTAAATAGCTAAATAGATATTTAGTAAAAATAAATAAGATTATTACTATATTTAATGTTAGAATATAATACTATTTAAAGATAAAATTTTTATAAATATATTAAGCCATAGATTTAATTATATACTAAAAAATAGTAATTCAAAAAGCTCTATACTAAGATAATAATTAATTTAAAAACTATAGTTCTAACTTATAACCTTCTCTGTCCTATTAGCATCCTATAATTTGGGAAAATACCGGATAGTGGATACAATAACATATAATTGATATTGGGATAGCATTTAATCGTCGGGGTATTCATCCTTAACATTACTTATAAAAACATGATTTTCCTCGTCCCATCGTTTGAAATGTTTCCCTGCAGTTTCAAGTAGATCGCGCGGCATGTCTGCCAACCGAGGTGCAGTTGGCCAAATGTTCTCTTCTGCCACATATCGCACGCTTCTATCCTCGACCCTGGACTCGATTAGCGGTGATATGGAAGTGGACCGTGGAGTAGGACATACAGAACATGGTAAAAACTTTGATGTCTCCCACCTGCGAGGCGATCAACACCCATTCTTCTCATCCACTGTTCGCCTGCATCACACTCTGTGTCCCAGCCTATGATGATGCCGACATAGTTGTAGCGGCGATGGCGGAAAACTTGGCCAACTCGATACTTTACGCTCATGTGGCCTGGATTACGGCGTTTGACCTGTTTCGGCATCTCGTCAACCGCGCGCATGACATGAAGGCATTCCAGGATATGCGCATGTTCCAATGTACCATGGAATAGGGGAGCTATGTGTCGTTCAATAAGATAAGTGTCTGATGGGAATTCCTTGGCATAAAGCTCCATGAACAATGGCATATAATGGCTGAACTCTGCAGGGCGGGATGGGCCCAGTAACAAGATCGCCGACCATAGAGCGGCGTACTTTGCGCTGAGAATATTTTCGACGCTCATATGTGCGCTTGCACCCTCGGATAATCTTCGCAGTTGACTCATTATGTTCGTGCTGCAGCGTATAACAATTTCTGGTGTCCATGACTCGTTCAAGTATGGCGACTGTTCGGCCACCGACAGGCCCAAAAAGTTCAGTTGGTGTTGCAAGCTCGCGACATGGGTCTCTGCATCTGAGCGGAATGGGTCCATGTAGATCGGGACACTCTCGATTCCCGGACCAAGTGCATTCCCATCAATATCGAAGCCGATGGGTGGTTTCACTATAACATGTACATGAAAAGGAAAGCCACAAGGGTGGGCATCAAGGCCAAACTTCTGTGCAACATAGCAGTATATGGCTGCTGAGATCAAGGGCAGAGAGTTGTGTTCGGGGTCCTTTAATGCAATTCCCAGAAAGTTGTGTTGCAACGTGTCATACTCGCGTCCATTTTTGATACCCGTGAGGTCATTTGCCTTCAGGTACGCAGCAATGGCTTTTGCCTTAGCACGACACGTGAGTCTATGGATATCAGGATGGTGCATCAAAAACTTTCTGGCAATCCCTTCAAGTGTATTGCTTATCTGCCGTCTAATTAGATACTGTCTGGGGCCAAGAGGATCGTCTCGCAAACATACTTCATCCAAGCTCCCATAGCCACTTTCAGGCACGAAAAGATCAAATGCGCCTAATGCGCGGTCAAGCGGAACGGTCTCGCCATTTCTGATCTTCGCCCATTCGGAGACAGCAATACTTCGGTGGAGACAATTGAGGAGTTCTTTCGCGTAATAGCTTTGACGTCATCGTTAAAAAAAAAAATCGGTCAAGACCTAGGGAAGCGCAGAATACCAACCTCCTAGCTAGGTAATCGTCGACGCTTGAGTCTGCCTGAGTATTCTGTAATAGTGCATCCTTGATATCGTAACCATATGCAATTATCGTGCGAAATTTCTCAATCCTGCCCGTTTGGCTCCGTAGAATGTCATCGAGAAAATTAATTGTGGCGCGGCCGACAAGATGGCGAGATATGTATAATGCTTTCCAATCTACCTGATGGACAGGGCCAGCAAGCTTATTGGGCATGTCATGTCTGCTGTCCCAATATCGGAAAGACGTCCGACAGTAAAAACGCCATAGTATGGGCTCGTTCGTGACACCTCGAAGCCGACGGCACGTGCTTTCTAGAGCAACCGCTGAGAGGGGGTCACAGTAGCATAAGATATTCAAAAGTATTTCTTGGGGAAGGTATTCAAGGGACAAAACCATTCCGATGCATGGGGCAGGGCAAAGAACAGCAAAAAGAATGAAGCTGCTATCTTCCGTGTGTTCGTTGTCGGGTTCAGAGTTCCGCGGGGAGAGAGGGCCAAGAGAAAGTGTTATCTAATAGCCTAATAACACCTCCGCAAAGCCCTTTTTTTTCCCCCAAGGACGCATCAAGTCGACAAGTAACCGCCGTCGCATCCTATTGTTACACAGGATTACGGTGCGCTACATTTCTAGTTATGGGACAATCACAGTCTGCAAATGTTAATGAAGATACGGATAACGGCGCTCCAAAAACAGACAAGAAGGTCGATTACTATGAGCTTCTTAATGTCGAACGCAATGCGTCTGGAGACGAGTGAGTTCATTTGCAAGCTGGGGTCCGAATTACTTTTAGCCGCAAACTAATTGAATATCTCGCCTATTCACAGGATAAAGAAGGCCTACAGAAAAAAGGCTCTGGAGCTACATCCAGACAGGAACTACGGGAATGTAGAGGCGGCTACCGAACTGTTCGCAGAAGTCCAAGCTGCCTACGAAGTCCTGTCAGATCCCCATGAACGCGCATGGTATGACTCGCATCGAGATGCTTTCTTAGGCGGCGATTCCGCGGCTCGGGGAACTGATTACTCCTATGAGACTCGAATGACAACAGCCGATGAAATTTTGAAGCTGTTCTCCAAATTTAGCCCTCGCATGGAATTTGACGATTCGCCGGACGGGTTCTATGGCGGCCTTCGTGAAACATTCTCACGAATTGCCCTCGAAGAGAAGACCGCTTGTCACTGGGAGAACTTGGAATATACGGAGTACCCAACCTTCGGACGTCGCGATGACAGCTTTGCAGACGTTGTGCGCCCATTCTACGCTGTCTGGGGCGGGTTCTCCACCAAGAAATCTTTTGCGTGGAAAGATGCCTATCGTTACTCTGATGCCCCGGACCGTCGAGTGCGCAGACTCATGGAAAAGGAGAACAAACGCTTGAGGGAAGAGGGTATCCGTGAATTCAACGAGGCTGTTAGATCTCTTGTGGCCTTTGTAAAGAAGCGCGATCCCCGATTTAAGGCTAATGCGCAAAATGAAAGGCAAAGGCAAGAAACACTGCGTCAGACCGCTGCTGCACAGGCTGCTAGGTCACGCGCAGAAAACCAGGCCAGATTACGAGATCATGTCGTCCAAGACTGGGCAAAGTCGGAGGCTCCTGACGAGGACCAGTCCGATCTGTCTGAAGAAGAGACGGAGTACTTTGACTGTGTCGTTTGTCGCAAAGGTTTCAAAAGCCGAAATCAGTTCGAGGCCCATGAGCGTAGCAAGAAGCATCTCAAGGCTGTTAAGCAGCTTCGTTGGGAAATGAGAATGGAGAGCGAGCAACTGGGCCTAGAAGAGCATCTCGATCATGCGGATGAACCACAGGAATACCATGAGGAGGTCAATCACTCGAAAACCCCGCCGACGGAGCACGGCTCAGACATTAATTGTACTGAGGACGTGTACGACAACGCCACCGAAGTGGTCGGCGAATTTGATGCAACTGATGATACCGAATTGTCCAGGGAAGAGTTACCCCCCCATGCATCGCCTTCTGAGGATTTGTCGAGCCTTGACGAAGAGGCGGATTATGCGTCAAGGGAGTCCATTCAGAACAGACTTGGATCATTCAGCATTTCGGAGCCTGGGCCAGATGAGCCAGGGGTAGCAGGTGGCATATTTCAGCACACCCCAGCCTCTGATTCTGAAGGAAATTCTCGACGCGGTGCTCAGAAGCTGGGTAAGGCCAAGCAAAAGCGGGCTAAAAAGGCACAGAAGCCAACGGCACAGTCTCAAAACTTGACATGCGGGACATGCAATACATCCTTCTCGTCAAAGAATCAGCTATTTCGCCATATCAAGGAGCTGCCCGACCATGCGCAGCCAGTATCTAGCGCCTCCAAGGCCAAAAAAGGTCGTTCGAAATGAGTTAGCACTACAGACCATCACCTCATACCTCCACGTACCATTGACACACGCTTTTTATATGCACACTTATATTGATAGAATAAAGCCTGCTGCTTCCGGCGCATCAGGAATCGACTATGTGATACTCGGGCTACTTTGTAGGACAACTGATGACGGAATCTGTACATTGGGGTGGTGAAGGAGCTTGTAAATCAAACCCAGGTTCGCCCTCGAGTTCTTAGCCGAGACCAGCCTTCGAGTTTTTCACCACATGTGCAACCGGTAAGAGAATGCCTTTGTTATTGGCAGCTCCGAGCGCAGTTCCCGTGCTCCAGCCCATTTTCTCCAGCATAGCTCGGCCTTTGTTTCCGGCGCCAATTTCGGGGGCAGAACCACCTACAACATCGCCGTCCATGTAGGAGACAGCCCCCTCGGGACGGCCACCACGCCGCGATTTGGCTGACTTGGGTGTGTGCTGCTCCCATATTTTTGCCCCGCCATACTTGAACTTCCCCTTGGAAAACACGCTGTCCACCTGACTAATCGTTTTCCGGGTATGTTTGGGGGTCCGCGAGGTCTTATGGAGGATAGGGAAACGCGATGACCCTTTCCCGCGTGACTGAGAATTCAAAGATAAGTCATGGGCCAAGTCATGGATCACTTTTCTGCGATGTTTGGTCATTGGAGGCAGTGACAAGCTAAATGATTGTTAGGCTGACGTCTAGTAACTGGGGCGATCGAACGGATATACATACCTATTCTTTGAGGAGAGCATAAATGTGCGAATCTCCACCTTCAAGTCATCGAAGCCCATATTGAGGGCATACTTGCTCTTCATGTCTGGGTCATCGGATTTGCGGCCTAGCAAGCCCTGTGCACGGAGTTGTTCCCTTTGCTGCTTTTTGATCCTCTTTTTCTCTCGGTCGTTTTTCCATGCCCTTTCTAGCTCCATCTCAAGGTCACTGTCGGAAAGCACCATATCCAGGGGCAAATGCTTCCCTTTCTTCTTCTTACGAAGGCTGGGCCTGTCAAAATCCATCATGTCAAGTCCATAGTATGGGTCCATCTCCAACGCATCCGCAAAAGCAGTCGCCGGGGCAAAGGGGCGCCCTTTGGGGCGGTTGCGCCGGCTTGTGCTTGGTGCACTGCTTTCTTCCAGGGCACGAAGAAGGTCCTCAATTTCCTGGGAGTATGGGTCCCTATCACCAACGTCGTCCTCTGAGTCAGTGTCAGTCCCGGATTCGTCGTAGGCTTCGAGAGGATCCTTCGGAGTATATGTATCTAGGCCTGACTCTTCGTCAACCAGATCTAGATTTGCTGACACCAATTAGCAAAAGGTTCGTAGCAACAGGCATTGAACTAGGATGGGTGTGCTGTTGCTGTACTCACTTGCAACTCCCATGGACTCTTCAGTCTCAATTGTCGCCAAGGGATCACTCCGGGTACTAAAGTCACCTGTGGTTGGGGCCTTTGTGGCTCTGCGAAGGTTGTCGTCGCCGTCGGATTCTTCACTTGATGATGATGACGATGGGGTGTTGAATCCTTCGAGATAGTCGTTGTCCATGTTCGCTATGTAGTCGGCTATAGCGCCATCCTCATCATCAGATCGATTACTCCGGGATTTCCTACCACGACGTGGCATACCAAAATCTATGTAGTCGAGTTCGGGCGTGGCCGAGCGTGCATCGGATATGGTGGTACTGGGTAGAGCTCCTGGCCTTTCCGGCGGTTGGACCTGTTCACTGGTGCTTCCTTGCGAGTCGCGGTTGGTGTCATTTGTATCCATCTGGTGGTCCCTATGTAGGAGTTGAGGTGCTGGGTCCTTTCTTCTTTGCCGTCCCAGGAAGACGATCTCGTCTTCGCTTGATTCGTCCTGATCCGCTGGCATTCGCTCCGTGTCTGGGTCCGAAATCTCTGCATTTGCAACCCCTTCTCCCAGTGTGTCTAATGACGGCGAGACACTCGGGGCGGTTGTCGTCTCGGCTGGTTGATGGTCCGACGGCGGAGTGACAGTGGTCTCCTCAGGAATGGTTTCAGGCTCTTCGCGCTTCTCGCTTGCTTGAGGGGTCTCGGGGTTGTCTTCGCGTTCCAGGTCCCCTGCACTTACGAATTGAACAGCCTTGTGTCGAAGCTGCAGTCCGGTGCGCCAGAGGTTACGCCCTTCGGTATTCCGGGCTTCTTCCTGCATCGTAAACTTGTTCCCTGTCGACGTGATCAGTGGAGGGAATTCTATTTGTTGCTGGGCGCATGTTTGCCGTACCAGCATGTCTCTTAGGTGTAGCCTTCTGAGCCTTTGCTCGGGCTTTGGCCTTGGAACGAGCCATTTCTGGCACACTAGGTGTACGCTGCTATGTACTCTGAGGTGTCAGGGAAGGTTATAGATGACGACCCTGCGGATACCTGGTGGCGGTATTCGGATTCGATATCGCCGAGTAGTGTGTGGTGACTGGACGAGAGGGATGCGTGAAGTAATACGGTATCTTCACGGGACGTCCATGTTGTGCTCTTGTTGGGGATTTTTCACTGATACTGATTGCTGATTCTTCGCTCGCCAAACGCCACTCGAATTTTTGTGGTAGGCGGTGAGTGGCTGTCTAGCAGACAGGTTTGCACCTACGGAGTACTTAGGTGGGATAACCGCCTGCTCTTGATTTATATGTCCTAGCCACGGGTCCAGATTTGATTCCAGTAGTGTCAGGTACCTTGAGTCGTCTGTTTTGATGGATGTCACGTTTCTATTGTGCTCCTGGGATCTTACTCGCGGTTGATGCCATATGCGTTCCTGGGCCCTTTCCGAGGAGTATGTGACTAATGACGTTAGCGGGTCCGGGAGCTTGTTATCGTACGGAGTTGGGGTCCCTCGTGATGAGCCCCTCTCCTACTACTAGTATTACATGCCTACGAGTAGGTTTTCCATCATCCAGTGCTACTTGGATATAGCTTGACTCATAGCTGTGCTGCCTTCTGTTGCCCTTTAGTTGACTCTACACATGATCTGCATGCGAGGGGGATAATACCAGGGACTTGATACATATATATCTCTCTCCCCGCATCCACGAACCACCCCCACAATACCACTTACCAGCACACACGAGGCGCAATCATACGAAGGACAGAAAGGAAAGAAAAACACACCAGAGATGAACAGTGTCGACCTCGGCCGATGCAAACGCATCGTACAGTACCTCTGGGATCCTGAGCCGAGGAATGACGAGGAACCAGATACATCCATCTGGTGCCTGGGTGTTGAATATCCCCCAACCAGTAAGCCTACGTCACTCACCCACACGCCAGGCACACACAGGAGGTCTAACCTGGAGAATATTATCGCTAATGTATATGTCACAGCAGGCGACGGCGCAACCGACAACAGCACAGAATATGAACCAGGGACAACGTCGACGCTGACAACAAATGGCTGGCCCGAGGGGTTTCTCTCCGATTTTGAATCGAAGATCTGGATGACATACCGATCAAACTTCCCTCCGATACCAAAGCTCGACAGTCCCGATTCAGCTCAACATATGACCCTCAGCGTTCGCCTACGCAGCCAGCTTATCGACTCGCAGGGATTCACCTCCGACACAGGATGGGGGTGCATGATCAGATCTGGACAATGCCTTCTAGCTAATGCGATGTCTATTCTACTTCTTGGCCGCGGTATGGACCATCCATTTATTCATCAGCAGCAACACATCAAAGCTGACGTATCCCTAGATTGGCGTCGAGGGCAAAAGCCCGAAGAAGAGGCACAACTGCTGTCACTATTCGCCGATCACCCAGAAGCGCCGTTATCAATCCATCGATTCGTTAACCACGGCGCCGAGTCTTGTGGGAAACATCCTGGAGAGTGGTTTGGCCCTTCTGCCACAGCCAGATGCATAGAGTAATGCCCCTTACCCATCCCTAGGATTACCGGATACATCCGACCTGGCAAGGTTGCTGTACTCACACTCGACAGAGCGCTATCGGCCCAATATGGGAATCCGACGCTTCGGGTTTACGTGACGAACGATAGCTCCGATGTCTATCAAGACCAGTTCAAGAGAGTTGCCTGTGACGGGACTGGCACCATACAGCCCACCCTGATTCTTATAGGGACGAGGCTGGGGATCGACCGGGTGACGCCCGTTTATTGGGACTCCCTCCGAGAAATGCTTCGATTCCCCCAGTCAGTAGGCATCGCAGGGTATGCATCTCAGCCCAGGCAAACAGTCTTGAACATACAAGAACCCAACAAGAAGCTAACCAGCCGTGACAGGGGACGACCCTCAGCGTCGCATTATTTCGTCGGAGTCCAGGGCTCGCACTTCTTTTACCTCGACCCACATACAACTCGCTCAGCCTTACCATACCGTCCATCTGGCAAATCCTATACCGGAGAAGAGATCGACACCTGCCATACACGACGACTGAGACGGATTCACATCAAGGATATGGACCCAAGCATGCTCATAGGTTTCCTCATTAAAGACGAAACCGACTGGAATGACTGGCAAGCGCGCGCTACTTCCACACAGGGAAAGCCCGATCATCCATATTGCCGCCAGTGAAACGCAACTGTATCCGCAAGGGCGAGAAGAAGCATTGGACGAGGTTGAAGCGTTAGATGAAGATTGATGCGCTAAAGATGCAAATGATATTGCTGTTAGTAGACACTTCTGGCATTAGCAGGTGGAAATTACCAAGGCGTAGACCACTTCGTGAGTAAATAAGAGGGTTGGAATTTCGACTTCTGTCAGGGTGTCTGAAACCATGCAGAACCCAGAGAAACGAGTTATGTTACACCGCATTCACGTCTCGAATAAAACCATAAAAACATTTGGCCCAAGGGGAAAAATAAAAGCCATCCCATGACACATTAGAAAATCCCGCGAACACCCGATAACCCACCACCTCAAAACCGATCAGATAACGAGGCAGTAAAAAGAGAATCCTGCAAAAACCGAACGAAAGAGAAAATGAACAACGCAAGCTTATTTGGCAGAAGAAGAGTACTTCGTGACGGCCTTGGTGCCTTCGGAGACGGCGTGCTTGGCCAGTTCACCGGGCAGGATCAGCCGCACGGAGGTCTGGATCTCCCGCGACGAGATGGTGGACTTCTTGTTGTAGGCAGCGAGCTTGGAGGCCTCGGTGGCAACGCGCTCGAAGATGTCTGAATGACGCGTCAGTAATCGCGTTCTGAACAGACCAGATCGATTTGACTCACCGTTGACAAAGGAGTTCAGGATGGACATGGCACGAGTGGAGATACCAGTGTCGGGGTGGACCTGCTTGAGGACTGGGGGCGCAAGTCAGCATCAAAACCCGATTCAATCCAATATCACAATTCCATACCCTTGTAGATGTAGGAGGAGTAGGTCTCCTTGCGGGTCTTGCCACGCTTCTTCTTGTCGCCAGAGGCAGCGGCGGCGGTCTTCTTGCCAGCCTCCTTCTTCTCAGCGGGAGCCTTGCCAGCAGGGGCCTTGCCACCAGTGGTGGGCTTCTTCTCAGCGGCTTTGGGAGGCATTTTGGATGGGATTTAAAAAAGAATAAAAATCGGATGAGATCAAAAAGGGTGAGATGGATGAAAGTACGCGGGTGTGGTCGTCGTGATAGATTGAGATGGGAATGAGGAGAGAAGTAGAAATGAGGGAGACGCGGTGACGAGGGGAGGCGCGCTACTTATACCGGCCCGCGAAAGGCCAGTTGATCCAGAGGTGGGCAAAGGAGGCAGAATTTCAATACGGTCACAGATTCGTATGATCTGTATGATTAGGTGGGCGGGGACGCGTCGACGACTGCGGAGAGGGCGGCAGGATCACGCCAAGGATGCAGTAAGGTATGGTAAGGGCATAAATTACGGGGCTTTACCTGATTTGGCACACCAACATCACGGTCACGCTTCGAATCAGCGCAGCGCGCGTTGCGGCATGATCTCCACTATGATTGGCCGACCCCGCTAAGCGAGAGGGTGATCTGAATGGCGTCTGGCCCGCCCAACGTCACCCTCGCCGCGTCGTTATAAATGTCGTCTGTTCCCTCGCGCTGCCCACTTACTTTACACACCTTACCGTATCATTGCCATCAACCTCCTCGCTCGATCACATCCACTTCACCACCTTCATCTCACCTCTTCTATTATTCTTTTTAGAATCCCCATTTCTCAACCGCAAAAATGACTGGAGGCAAGTCTGGAGGCAAGGCCAGCGGCAGCAAGAACGCGCAGTCGTATGTTTGCCCCTTTTCATCAACCGGATGGTTGGGACTTTGTGTGCGCGTCTCAAATGCTAACTTCTCATTGAAGCCGTTCGTCCAAGGCCGGTCTGGCGTTCCCCGTCGGTCGTGTCCACCGTCTGCTCCGTAAGGGCAACTACGCCCAGCGTGTTGGTGCCGGTAAGATTCCTCGATTCTGAACCCAACTTTCAATCAATATTGACGCGTCATCCAGGTGCCCCCGTCTACCTCGCTGCTGTCCTCGAGTACCTTGCTGCTGAAATTCTCGAACTGGCTGGCAACGCCGCTCGTGACAACAAGAAGACTCGTATCATTCCCCGTCATCTTCAGCTCGCCATCCGCAACGATGAGGAACTGAACAAGCTCCTCGGACACGTCACTATCGCACAGGGTGGTGTTCTGCCCAACATTCACCAGAGTAAGCTCCACTTCTCCACGGGTCACCAAATCGGGTATACTAACGCAATCCAGACCTTCTCCCCAAGAAGACTCCGAAGGCCAAGGGCAGCCAGGAGCTCTAAATTGTTTCTTTTTCGTTTGGGTTTTATCGGCGTGGTTTGGTTCTCTTATTGATGTGATAACGGGGTTCTGGCCTGGGCACGTTTATGGCTCTTCGTTTCTGTTCTAATTTTATGGTTGTACATTATGTCTACGGACATGGAATGATACCGGCAGCTTCTACATGATTCAGGCTTTCGGATATTCGGATTAACCGGGTTGTCTTCAATGATATCTCGTTTTCTAGATTTGGTTTCTGTAGATCCAGTAGGCGATGCGGTCTCATTCAACATTTGTTGCATGGTACATCTAAGAATTTAATTGGAAAGCCATGTTGGCTGTTGATATTTGATTTACAGTTCTGATCGCGATTAACATAACTTTGTCAAGACCCCAAATGCATTCGATATTTGAAACAGCAATCTTCAATCCGCTCTATGTTTAATGGCCATGCGCATGGTCGGGGGCATCTGGATGGGCATTAGAACATTCATTGAGAATCCAAGCAGACTGGATGTAAACATACAGGGTAGTTGACGAGCCGGAAGGTTTCTCTCGTACTTGGAACCTGCAGTTACTGTGAGCCAATGGTCTGCCACATAATTGTATTATGTTGATCAACATACCACCCGGCGCGGTAGGTGCCCGATACGGATCCGGGTGCTTCCAGGTCTCGAGTAGCTTCTCCGTCTCTCTCAGCAGCACCTGTGAGGATTCGCGTAAGCGGGGTTCGTTCGGATCATACGGGATGTGGAAGCAGAAATGGCTGTACCTTCTGTTGGCGGGGATCGCGGACATCCTTGTTGGCGTCAAAAAGCGAGCGGATGTAGACGGCCTGGCCACGCCAGATATGTCTGTGGACAGCCCAATCGAGCGCCAGCTTCAGAGACCGGCGATAAAGGGACCTGGAGAGAGATAGGTGGTTAGAAGACCGTGGTTTTGGAGTATTCGCCATGCGGTCGAACCACTTACGCAACCGGAGTCAGTGCCATTGTGCCGCAACAACGAAACGGCAGGGGGGTTCAAAGCGATAGTAGGGGGGTAGAGAGAACCCGCGCGGATCGAATGAGAAGAATCGGCGTCTCGCTTTGGGCACAGAGTGGGAGAATTCCTGTTCAATTGGATTGATATCGGTGCCTTCTTCGAGGACCCGCGAACAGACTGCTCGGCGGAAGACTGCCATAGTGGTCTGCCTGGCCGCCCGGAGAAGCGTAATAATAATACTCCGTCATTGCCGGGTGCAGGGAACGCTGGCCGCCGCCTTGAGGGAAATTCCGGTTGTTTCGGCCCGGCTCGAGCTCTCTCATTGCGCTGTACCCTTCCTACGAGACACTAAGTTTCGTCACTCTTTTTTACTACTCCTACGCCGCGCGCATAACATTCAGAGGGAACAACACCCCCAGAATCCCCCCTGACGCTCTTCTTTCCACTGTCTCTGTCTTTGGTTCCTTTCTCTTGGTCTTCTCGTTCAACATGGCTTCCCGATTACCGCTTCAGACGCTGAGGGCTGTCCCTCGTGTTGCGTCTCGCAACTTGACTGCTGGCAGCCGCAGAACCCTCACATCAACCTCGCTCCGGAAGGCTATCAAGACTCCCGGCAAAGCTGCTCTGGGTCTCCAACAAATCCCTGTGCTGGGGTAAGTCCTTCTTCCTTTATGCCGAGACGGTCTTTCGCATGCTTACAAACAATGTTGTAGAAGCAACATCTCTCGTTCCGGCCTTGCTCGTCTTGGAGGCTACCAAGTGCGCACTTATGGTATAACGGCGGCCTATTAGATCGAAATTGAACCATTCGAGTCCGATCGCTAACGGTACAACAGCCGACACCGTGGTCAAGGTTCCTCAGATGGCCGAGTCTATCACTGAGGGTACCCTGAAACAGTTCACGAAACGTACGATTTTCCCGCCCCCTTGTGACTATAAAGTTTGCTTATTGGTTGCTACCAGAGGTCGGAGACTACGTTGAACGGGATGAAGAACTTGCGACCATCGAAACCGACAAGGTAATTTCCAATGCGCATTGGGACAGGCACACGGCCGATTAGGCGGCTCCTGGATATATAAACACATACTTACTCTGACCAGATCGACGTATCCGTTAACGCTCCCGAAGCCGGCGTCATCAAGGAGCTTCTCGTGAATGAGGAGGATACTGTGACTGTCGGTCAGGACCTTGCTAAGATCGAGCCCGGTGGAGCCCCTGAGGCGAAGGAGGAAGCTTCGGAGAAGCCGAAGGAGCCTGCGGCTGCTGAACAGCCCAAGGCTCCGGAGCCGGAGCAGCCCAAGCCTGAGGCCCCCAAGGCCCCCGCTGCTGAGAAGCCCAAGGCGCCGGAGCCTCCCAAGCAGTCCCAGCCCGCCGCTTCTACCCCGAGTGAAGCTAAGCCCACCCCTGGTAGCCGTGGGGAGCAGAGGGTTCGTCTCCTTTGGAATTTCGGCCTCCGTGACCGTCGCGTGGTATGTGCTGACTTCGTGTTGTAGGTGAAAATGAACCGGATGAGACTGCGGATCGCAGAGCGCCTGAAGCAGTCCCAGAACACCGCCGCTTCCCTCACTACTTTCAACGAGGTTGATATGTCGTCTCTTATGGAATTCCGCAAGCTCTACAAGGATGAGGTGCTGAAGAAGAGCGGCGTAAAGCTGGGCTTCATGAGCGCGTTCTCTCGGGCTTGTGTTCTGGCCATGAAGGATGTGCCCGCCGTCAATGCCTCTATTGAGGGACCTAACGGCGGGGATACCATCGTCTACCGCGACTACGTTGACATCAGTGTCGCTGTGGCTACCGAGAAGGGCCTTGTTACCCCTGTGGTGCGCAACGCCGAGTCGATGGATATGGTTGGCATTGAGAAGGCTATCGCCGACCTTGGAAAGAAGGTAGGTGAAGAAAACTTCTGGAAACCGACGCATTTGCTAACTTTTCGCTTTCAGGCCCGCGACAACAAGTTGACGATTGAGGATATGGCTGGTGGATCCTTCACCATTAGCAACGTTAGTTCTGGATATTCATGCTTGGGGATCATACATGTGCTAATGCTTCGCAGGGTGGTGTGTTCGGATCCCTGATGGGTACCCCTATCATCAACCTTCCTCAGACTGGTATGTTCATACTCCTAACCAGGTGAAGTGCGGGCTTGCTGACACTTTTTTAGCCGTCCTCGGTCTCCATGCTATCAAGGAGAAGCCCGTTGCTGTGAACGGCAAGGTTGAGATTCGTCCTGTATGTATTATTTACATGCTGGCTGCTGGGACAATGCTGACGCCATCAACAGATGATGTATCTTGCCCTGACCTACGATCACCGTCTTTTGGACGGTCGGGAAGCTGTTACTTTCCTTGTCAAGGTATGTTGCTCGCATGGCTTGCGTTTCCGAGGCTGGGTGCTAACTTTGCCGGTATAGGTCAAGGAGTACATCGAGGACCCCCGCCGGATGCTTCTCGGCTAGATGTGATATTCGTGCGTGTGCCTTTCGGAGTTGGGGCTACCATACTCTTTGCCCTTCCATCACTTTGCTTGGGAAATTCATCTTGTAGATTAACACTGTACGCGAAATATATATGCAATCTTTATGTGTTACCGGTTTGTGCCTCGGATATTATAGTAGTGCGCTCATCTCGCGGTCGTGCATTGCTGCATGCAATGGTTTGCATAAACTCAATTGGGTATCTCGTAAATAATCTGCTTGCTACATTACTCCCCTGGTAGGGGCTCGCATTTGAGGGCGGTGATTTCGCCGCGCGGCGGCTCAGCGAATTCCTGCCCTTTCTTTCAGTTGCTGCGTTTCGGCGCGACTTAGCCCGGCCAGTTTCCCACGCTCGAGCTGGACCAGAATGGGGGGATCCTGCGTCTTCATTATGTCCAGTAGTGTGTTGAATAGCTCTTGTCTTAGCCTGGCTGGTGTCAGGCTCGTCGATATTCGTCTAATGTGGGCGTCAAGCGATGTGTCAGGTGGTGGCTCAAAGTAGGATGTTATTTGAGTCGTTGCGTCGCGCATTCGTTCTTCATTCGGGGCTGTTTCCGTCATGGCGATATGTGTATTGAGGCCCTCTCGCAGTGTGATTCCGGGTTCTTTGGCTGCAGTTATCGCACCCTGCGCGATCAGCTGGCAAGCCACACCAACCCATCGTCGTCGCGGGTATCTGGTACGGCAGAGGGGGACATAGTCGCGTAGAATTTCTGCTGGGGAGGCGCATCGACGAATCTCATCGGCCAGTTCGAGAATCTTAAGTTTGGTGTGTATATCTTCCGGTATGAGCGCGGGGTCGGGAATGAGACGCTTGAACGCTGTCGCCGGACGAGATTGATGTTAGCACGGCTTCTGGCATCGTTATCCTCTGGGGGGGCGCATACCGTATATCGTCGCAATGGAGGAGTCAATACTATTGTGTTCTCCGTTCTCTTCGGTCCGCACTTGGCCAGTCGAGAGGATGGACTCCAGCGTCATGCAGAGCAGATAGTCCAGTATCATAAGGTCTACATCAACGTGGATGTCTGGGTCGGGTTCTGATAGCTCCATATTTCTTGTGACTGGCGAGGCAGTCCACTGTTCTCTGTGCTGGTCGCATCGCGCTCGATCTTGAATCCGCGTTTTTGGTGTGACTAAGCAATGCCCCACTTCTTTACCCTCCCCACTCAAACCTGAACCCCCCTGCTCATCTTGGCGCCATGCGGACTTCAGAAGCAGATATCCAGAGATATCCAGCTGGCGATCTGCGTTGATCTGGGGGGTAATCAGTGTTTCTGATTGTGTTGTTGCTTGGTCATGGTTATTACGACTCCACTGCGACGGTTATATTGTAGGCTTGGTGTGTGTTTTCTCGAGTGCAGATGGTGTAAATCTAACGACTCTTCGCTTCGGATATACTCTGGGGATATATATATATCTATATACTGGAAGCTATCACTACTCGATACACGCATAAACCTACACCCACTGGAGCAGCATTTAACACCATAAACACGCAAATACACCAATAAGATATCCATAGAATAAGCGATATATAACCATGGTCCAATAGAGAACACTAGACCATGAGCGCAACCGTGATGCCATAGACATCATGTGACCACAACCGACGTGACAGTAGCGTCATCTCCATGAACCCACCCGCCAACTACCATACATATAGTTACATATCGCCATACGACTGACCACTAGCTAAATCCACTGTTAACTATACTACTACCTCAACTATTTGTACGCGCCTGCTCGTTGCTAGTCAACACACCCACTGCCCACTGCATGCTCATCAGGCCTGCACACCTATCCAGACTCCTAACCAGAACAATCCCCGCAAGACGATTCTCCATGGCCTGGTACTGCTCCGGCTCCTCCAACGCGGAGTTGATCGAGAACCTCGCCCAAATGGACCTGATCAAGAACGAACGCGTAAAACGGGCAATGATGGGAGTGAGCATTGACCCGCACCCCATTTCCCTGTCCCCATGATACGATCTCGCCACAAGTATCATTATCTCGCGGTCACCGACACCAGAAACCGTGATATCTACCCCGTACAGACCGGGCTGACAGTCACACAAAGGTTGACCGGGGCCACTATGCACCCCAACGACCCTATTCAGACTCGCCGCAGCCGATCGGCTATGGCGCGACTATATCGGCCCCGCACATGCACGGCCACGCCTGCGAATACCTCATTGATTACCTCAAGCCAGGCGCCCGCGTGCTGGACATCGGCTCTGGATCCGGCTACCTGACGCACGTCTTCGCCAACCTCGTGACGGGCTCGTCCACCGGCAGCCCCGATGGACAAGTCATCGGCGTCGACCACATACCGCAACTAGTCGAGCTCGCCAACAATAACATGCGCAAGTCAGCACAGGGTCGCGAGCTTCTTGACTCCGGAAAGGTAAAATTCATCACGACCGACGGGCGTAAAGGGTGGGAAGCGGGCGCGCCGTATGATGCTATCCATGTCGGTGCTGCGGCGGAGACGCTACATCCCGCGTTGATCGATCAGCTGCGTGCCCCTGGACGTATGTTTATCCCAGTCTCCGCGGAAGGCCCTGGGGCCACATTCGCCGCGATGGGGGGACAATATATCTGGGTTGTGGATAAGAAATCAGATGGATCGATCCACAAGGAGAAGGTATTCCCGGTCAGCTACGTTCCTCTGACGGATTCACCCAAGTGATGTTCCTCTTATCCCCAGGGGCTCATCGGACGGAGAGTACTTCACCCAAGGTAATGTGGAGAGAGTGGAAGATAATAATTGGATCGCTGAGCTGAAACATCCGAATCGAAGCAAATCGTAGCCTCTAGTCACATTCCTTACCAGGACAAGGGATAGCAATGCTATTGTTATATGTTGTACTGATTTGTTTCAAAATGACGAAGCTGCGGTCACTTCCTAATGAACAATCAATGCTAAGTAACATGAGACTATCAACGGAAGGGGAAGCCCCCTGGGAAATTAAAGCCCTGGTGAGCGAACTTGAACTGTCGACCACCGCCCTGCTGGAAAAAGAATTGCTGACCACCCGGAGGGAACGGGCTTCCCTGGAACGGATGACCTCTCTGCGACTCCGGGTCGTTAGGGTCATCTCCGTTGTCATACCGGGCCTTCAGTTCGGGATCTGACAGGACCTCATAAGCCTCATTGATACCAGCCATGCGCTTCTCAGCCTCTTCTTTACTGACGCCCTGCGCGGTGGCCTTGTCGGGGTGGTGTTGTCTGGTCAGTTGACGGTACGCCTTCTTGATGGTTCGCTCGTCTGCGTCTCGACTGACGCCAAGGATCTTATAGTAGTCCTTCTGCTTAGAACGTTTCTGTAAGACATGGGCCTTCTGCAAGAGGGTCTGGACCTCTCGAGAGCCCGGATGGTGTTCCTTTGCCGTGTTCAGTGTGGCGATCGCCTCATCGAAGCGTTCTTCATCAATCGCTGTCTGGCCCTTGAATAGCAGCGCCGGGAGGGAATATGGGTTCGTTTCAAGTGCCTCTGTGCAGTAAGGTGCCGCACGCTTCGGCATGTGAGCCTGGACATCAATCACTTGTTAGCCCTCCTTCAGCCAACACATCACATCGGATCAATATACCTCTTGATAAGCGTTGCAAGTGTCTTCCACCAACGACGCATAGAGTTTGTTGGGGGCTTTCTGGTGGATATGGCCTGCCTCTCGCTCCTCCTTGACATCATCCTTCACATCACCCAGAAGGCCAGTGTCGTCTGCTGTACCCACGAGGAGATTGATGGCATTGTTGAATTTCCGGGCTTCCAGCGCATCGCGCAGTTTCTGTAGTCGCTTGGTGATCTGCTTCTCCCTCCGGTAGAGACGGTTGCACGGTTTCGAGTCAGGATCAGAATGGAGACACTTCCGGATCTGCGCAATGCCACGTTCATTGTCCGCCAGGGAATAGAACAGCATTGCCGACATCTGCAGATGGGGTTCGACGGAGCCCGGAGAAATCTGCAAGACATGCGCCAGATCACTAATTCCCTCCTCGACATCACCCTTCTCGAAGCGGCAATGTGCGCGTGTCTGTCGCAAGCCCAGGGCCGTGTTCGCCTTCAAAACGGCGACATTCGCCTGAGTGATGCAGTCGTCCCATTGCTTACGGTCCTCTGCCTTCTGAGCCTTGAGCGCCGCATCGCGCGCTTCCTCAAGCTCAGCATATTCGGGAGACGACTTCTTCCCGGCCTTCGCCAGGTCACTCAAGGCGCCGGTCCAATCGGCAGAAGACGCCCGCAGACGGGATCGCTGGAGCAGCGCGCTTTCGAAATCGGGCTTCAACTCCAGGACCCGGTCGAAGTCTTCCAGAGCCTGTGTGTTACGCCTCAGAGACAGGTATGCAGCGCCGCGCTGGAAGATGGTGAGGTAGTTCGTAGGGTCCCTGGCGATTGCCGCATCGAAGTAGAGTAGAGCGTCACGAGCCGATCCGCTGGCGAGATGCGATTTCGCGGAGGCGACCAAGGAGGATAGCGGAGTGTCGGCGGGGATTTCTGAAGCCTGGAGGCCATAGCCTGTCGAGCATAAGGCCAGGAAGACCGTGAGGTATTCCAGCGAAAGGAGCATGGTTGAAGGTTGGAGCGCAAACGAATGACCACTTGTAATGACGATGGAGAGAGAGGTGCAAAGGTAGATTAAGGACAAGAGCGCATAGTATATATGACCACAAACGAGGTGAGGCGAAAGAAAACCTATCAGTCAAAAAACAAATAGCTCCTGGTGAGAGCCGCGGACGAATTTACATGTTCGATGCCATTCGATTGCTGTCAGGAAGTGCTCGATTCCGGAAGTCGACTTTCCAGTCTGGCCTTTACGCGCCGTTACCATTATTACATACAAACAAATCACGTGATCTGAGACGGAGATGCGTCGGCCGCTTGTTCTTTGCGCATCCAACAGAGCGTCGTTCACTCGAATTGGATCGCGGCCGATTAAACGAGTATTGGAGGAGACACATTGAAGTCGACAAGACCTCGATATGTTGAATACTCCGTGGATCTGCGCCCGGTGTCTGGTGCGATCAACCAGGGCTGCGCGACAGCCGCAATTCCTCCTACAACGGCGGAGATTGAACACAAGTATAGGTGGGTCAATTCTGCCCTTCAGACAGCTCTCACAATATACAATCAATATTAATATTCCCCATTAGACACAGGCCTGTCTCCGGCTTTACTCACCCGAGCCCGCTCGCTCGCCGCCGAGCACAAGTCGCTTTCGGCCAAACTAGAGGACTCCTTCGATGCGAAAACCGCGAAACGCATAGGTGAACTAGCGGCGATAACAAAAGTGCTGAAAGAATGGGATACTGCGAACGAAGTAAGAGCATGGCCGACCCGAATCACCACGGAACATGTCGCTGATTGTGTGGTTTAGTCGATTGCGGAGCTGAAATCCATGTTGGAAGACCCGGACACCGATGGGGAGCTCAGATCGCTTGCGGTCGAAGATCTAGAGAGCAGCAAGAACAACCTCCCAGTACTATCGGATAGCCTGAAACAAGCCCTCGTGCCTCGTCACCCCTTTGCCGAACTCCCCTGTCTTCTCGAAATCCGCCCAGGTGCCGGTGGGGATGAGGCTGGCCTCTTCGCCTTCGAGCTTCTGAGGATGTACACCGCGTTCTGTTCGCGAAGAGGCTTCCGTTCCAGTGTCATCAAGCTCGATGTCGCAGACGGTGCGGGGGACGATCGATTGACCGAGGCAATTTTAGAGGTCGAAGCGAACGGGGCCTACGATGTTCTGCGGACGGAGTCTGGCGTACATCGGGTCCAGCGGGTCCCGGCTACGGAGTCAAAGGGACGGACACACACGAGTGCCGTGAGCGTGATGGTGCTCCCCAGTTTCCCAGACAGTGGAGCTGGCAGTGATAGCGCGTTGAACGTTGACGATCCGAATAGCGACTACTACGTGGACCCGCAAGAAGTTCGAAGCGAAAAGATGCGCGCAGGTGGCGCCGGCGGACAGCATGTCAATAAGACGGAGTCTGCTATTCGTCTAACGCATATTCCGACAGGCATTGTGGTGTCCATGCAGGACTCGCGATCGCAGCATGCGAACCGCAAAAAGGCGTGGCAGATTTTACGCGCTAGGCTGGCCGAGGCAAGACAGGAGGCGCGAGAGCAAGAGCTAGTAGAGCTAAGAAGAGGTGTAATGGGTGGTGTCGCTCGCATGGGGCGCGGCGATAAGATCCGTACGTACAACTATGGCCAAAGCCGGTGTACAGATCATCGAAGTGGCACCACCATACACAACCTAGACAGTGTGTTGGACGGCGGTGACGGCCTGGAAACCGTGATGGACAGTGTGCGGACATGGCTTGTTGATCAGGAGGTTGCAGCTATGGCTGCGGAAGATCTGGCGAAAGATGAGGCCGCATCTCGTTCCTTGAAACGGTAAGCAATCCGACTCCTATTTTCATCTAGCTGGGTTCCTATGCCTTGCCTCTATGACCATAGTTGTACATACATGATCGAATCCAGATCTGGTCTCCCAAGTGAACGTAACGCGTGTTTCTGGCCACGCCTGTCCAAGTAGTTATTATGTTGTAGATAGAGTCGCTCCGGGCCCACCTTTGTGTTCCTTCTATTGCTCCAACAATCATAGGTATTTTCTCTCGGGATCGACCGAGTCCAGAATATCCATAGTTTTCTCATACCTGAGAGAAGATCAGCGTCATTCGGATTCTCCGGGGGGGTTGAGCGTTGTTGAACTCACATCGTGAACACGATTCCTCCACTCATGATCAGTCTCGCCAGTCGGGGGACAGCTCCAGACCATAAAGTGAGGACTCCCTCGTCTCTGAAAATTCGTGCCGCGCAAACGAAGCTGTTTTTGTAATTCTTGCTCGCCTCAAGCGATTGCATTCTGCTCTCTGATTAGTGTCTGTTCCATGCACAGGTTCCGAGTTGTGGGCTCTTACCTGGTTTTGACCGTATCCAAAGGTTGAGTGGCAAACCTGAGGTAGAGATTAGCAGTGATCGTGGCATGTAGGAGTGTGCAGCGGGCCCGAGACGTACACTGTGATGATACCAGCCATGCCGCCCAGAGCGAAAGTGCTCGCGGTTCCCAACTTCTCTCCTGGAGCAACATAGCCTTGTGCCAGTTGCTTCAGCGTTGTGTAGCTCGAGAACCGCACCGCCGAGTTGGCGGCTTGCCTCGCTGTGGTAGGAACAAAGCCCTGGAAGAAGCCTCGGACTCCTCGCTCCTGGAAGATGACTTTACTGCCGTGCAGGAATCCGCGCATGCGAGGGTTCGCCGATTTGCGGTCGTCAATTCTGAAACGATTACGTCCGTCAGCTCAGATCCCAAGTAGGGCCGGCGCCTTGATTACGATCGCAGGATCGGACGCAAGAGGGACGAGTAAAACGAACAGTTGGGTTTTGATGCTCTCGAAGGGGGTGACAGCCAGAAGCGACTCGGTAAATCCAGCACCGAATCCAGCAATAACTGTCCTTGGTCCGGATATCTTTCCATTTTCGTCCTGAAGAAGTGACTTGAAGGTATCGAAGGCAACGAAACCTATGGACCATCATACTCGTAAGCACAGGGTCAACGCGACACAGAACATAGAGAAGGTCACGGCAACATAGACAGGAGGACTCACGAATGCCTGCCTTGAGGGAGTTCCCAATAATCAACGTAGTGCATCCTGCATACCACTGCTTTCCGAACGGCGGCCATGGTAGCTTCTGTCCATCAGGGAGTTTGCGGTTTAGTTGAGAACGGGTTTTGGCGACTGAATGGGTTAGTTCGGTCCGGTCATGGCAATGGTGAGGATCGCATACACTCCGCAGGATAAGTAATTGCTATTTCGTGGATTAGTGACTGACAGACAGTCTAGGAGCGATTCGTTGAAGGATGGGATTCTTACCGATCTCAATGGCACCCGCGGTCGAGCCCGCGATGATAGATCGCAGACTGCTC